TCGTAATAATTTACGAACCGTAAAAAAACCGTAATATTACGTAAAAACTTTCGAAATATTGCGAAATATACAAATTAAAAATTTGCTGATGTACCTGGGACAATATAGGTATTAAAGTTGGCCAAAGCATATGCAATTTCTACCAGCATTAAAATTAATTTGACTCAGCCTCAAACAAATGACCAATTAAAACCAAATCATAGCGATAATATAATTTAGGCCAAATTTTATAAATTTTGTTATTTAAAGTGCCAATACTGCACGAATTTTGAGGACCATAAGATATTGGCTCAATATCAATTTTCCAAATGCCGCAATTTGATTGGTTTTAAAAAATAAAATCCAAAGTCACTTTTTTATTATATATTTAAATTCTTCACATTTGAGAGCTCATTAAAACTATAAGTAATAGCATTATATTATCGTTTCTTAATGCCTTTAGGTGTCCCAATTGTTACAAACGTTTGTTTAATGCCAGAAACACTACTCTTATACTTTTTATAACGTCTTGTTGTGTATCGATAAAATAGCATTCTGGCTGTCGAAATAACAGCAGTCTAAAAATATTACAAATTTCCATATAAATTAAAAGTTCAAAACGCAGTAAAATAAAGAATAGTAAACATACTCGTAATTCTAACAATAATTGCATCAACTCAAATACTTGATCAGGCTTGCTTTCAAACAGGGGAATCTCAGTCTGACGCATCTTAACAAAACGATAATATCCTTCTTTGGCTTTGGAAAAAACATGAATTGATAGATACCGTCCTAATATAAAATAACCAAATAAGAAATTTGGAAATTTATAATGAAAATATTAATCTTTCTATATAACTTGCCTTTAATGTTAAGGCAAAAAATTTTCGTCAATTCTTCGTATTCATATTTTTTTTCGCTGGAAAAATCCTCAAAAGCATCTTTACCGCCACGTGCTAGTCTATTATGGTCAGAAATTTGTTTCCGCCAATCAGATTCAGGTCGTCCTGTTTCCATATTAACTAATTCTAGTTCTTTATCACCGACTTTCACGCGTAACATAAAATCCGGTTTATCTCCACGTGATTTTTTACGAGCCTTACTAGAAGGACTCTCAATTTCTCCCCTAATTAAGGATGATAGAATTAAAAATTCCAACAATTCAAATTATTAGATTAAAAAAAAAAGAAAATATTACTAATTTGTTTTATACATCATAGGGATTGGTAATTCTGAAAAAGTAGCGGTTAGCAAAGGTGCTAATACCTCTGCAACGTATGTTCCTTCATTAATCTGTTCTAATGAACTGGCCATCATAGCATAATGTTGTGACCTCCATGCATTATCACTACAAACGGAAATAATTAAGTAAATAAAATTTTTACCACGAATAATAAAATATATATCGTACAGAGTGTTAGATATTCTTCTTGCAAATTTAATTATATCTTTTCTTTCGTCAAACAAAATCCCATAATCTACATTATTTCCAAAGCGTATTTTGTTCCTTCTGTTTTTCCATGCTTGATGACTCTTCACCAAATTTTCAGAAGATTGTTTTAAATCAGAATTATTTTCAAGCTTCATTTTCAAAATACCCGTCTATTTAGAAATAGTTATTCTTAATTCAATCGCGAACATTTTTCTGAAATTATTGTTACTTGCCTGAAATTCTTCTTGACAATCTTGTGGCAGGTTTTTGACTAATTCAGATTCATTACATATAATGCCACTTGCTAGTGGATTATCGTACGTCAAATCTTCAACATCCGTATTACTTAGTTTCTTGTATAGTTGAGAACAGAGACGTGAGACAGTACTTCGATTAAATACACTTTTTGATTCTATGCGATGTTTCTTAATAAAGAAAAAATTTAATATATAACTAAAGTTAGACGAAATTGTGAAATTCACATTTATTACCAAAATTTTTTGCAGCTTATTAATATTTTCCTCGGCATCTTCTTTCCACTGAGAAATTTCTACTGGCTGTATAAATTTAAGATTAAAGTTTATTCGGCATTAATTTATATACAGTATTAGATTTAAAAATTTTACTATTATCAACGCGCCCGCTTCCATGAGTGCTTCAAGAGCTTTAAAATGAACGTCAGCCTTTAAATATTTAAATTTTTAAAATTAGTTCATAGTTAAATAATTTCAATTTTCAAATTTGAAAAAAAGTTAAGAAAAATTTTCAAGTTTTGTCTTCCGCTATTAGCATAATAAATTTAGACTGCTGTTGTTCTCTATCACAATGAACATCTTCGCAGGGAAAAGCCTGGTACTGTAACATAATGTGATAAAATTTCAACCCTGTTACGACATATCACTACGAACATCTTCACAGGAAAACTGTTACTGTAACGTATGCAAGTCAGTATGCAAGTTATATTTTTGCAATATCGCAAGCTGTGAATGTCTTGAGGGCTGAAAATATTTGGGCTAATAACATTATGCTTATTTTCATCACTTTCTCATTAGTTTTATCAATAATATGATAGTCAGATATTACTTAACCTTGGTATCTTCAAGAGACATTAATTTTTCGAAACGTTCTTTTTCATTTTTGTTGAGAATTAAGGCTTTAAGTATCCTATTTTTCGTGTTTTTATAAATATTAACTTCCTCTTTTTCGTCATCAGTCCATTAATTAGTTGTTATTCTTGCGTACATTGCAGTTATTATTGTTATTTTCTCAGGGGTTTCGTTTAAAAAATATTTTTCCATTATTGAGATTTAGTAATATGAAGGTTTTTTTTAATCAAAGGATGGTTGTTTACATGATCAACATATTTGTAGATCCCCTGTCAGGTGACACTCAGATAATTCAGTCTGGGATTTTTCCAAATTTGGATTGATATACAAAATTATTCTAGAATTTAGAAATTCGTTGATGATCTACAAACAAGTAAAAGCATCGTGTTAAAGCAGGGAGCTATGAAATAGGAAGAAGATTAGATAATAGTAAAAATATATATATATATATATATATAAATTAAGCAATATAGTTCTCTTGAAACACAATTGTTAAAGCGAATCGAATTAAATTGCATTCTCACTCTGGTAATTTATTTGAACAATTGATTAATCAATGTCTTGAAACATAATCATTAAGTAAATCAATTAACCTTTGTACTCACTCTTGTAATTTATTTGAATGATTGAATAATTATAGTTAATTAATGTCTTGAAATACAATCGTTAAAGCGAATCGAACTAAACTTCATTCTCACCCTGGTAATTTATTTGAATGATTGAATGATTGTGGCTAATTTATTTTTTAAAACACACAATCATTAAAGCAAATCGAATTAAATTTCGTATTCACTCTGGTACTTTATTTAACGATTAAATTATTATGATTAATCTTAATTAATATCTTAAAACAAATTCATTAAAGTGAATTGAGTTAAACTTATACTCACCCTGGTAATTTATTCGAATGATTGAATGATTACGCTAACCAATGTCTTGAAACACAATCGTTAATGCAAATCAAACTAAACTTCATACTTACTTTCGTAATTTTTTTTTGAACAATTGAATTTACAATTAATCAATATCTTGAAACATATTCGTTAAAGCAAATCAAATTAAAATTATACTCACCCTGGTAATTATTTGAACAATTGAATGATTATGGTTAATTATACATTCTCTTGAAGCACAATCGTTAAAGTGAATTGAATTAACTTCATACTCATCTTTGTAATTTGTTGAATAATTGAATAATTATGGTTAATCAATATCATGAAACACAATCATTAAAGTGAATTTAATTAAGCTTCATACTCACCCTAGTAATTTACTTGAACTATTAAATAATTATGGTTAATTACACATTCTCTTGAAACACAATTGTTAAAGCAAATCGAACTAAACTTCATACTCACCCTGGTAATTTATTTGAATAATTGATTAATCAATATTTTGAAGCACAATCATTAAAACGAATCAATTAAACTTCGTACTCACCCTTGTAATTTATTTGAACGATTGAATAATTATAGTTAATTAATGTCATGAAATACAATCGTTAAAGCGAATTGAACTAAACTTTGTTCTTACCCTGATAATTTATTTGAACAATTGAATTATTGCGGTTAATCTATTATTGAACCATAATTGTTAAGATGAATCAAAATAAATTTCATACTCACCCTGGTACTTTATTTAACAATTAAATGATTACGGTTAATCAATATCTTGAAACATATTCGTTAAAGCAAACTAAATTAAACTTATACTCACCCTGGTAATTTATTTGTATGATTGAATGATTATGGCTAGTCAATATCTTGAAACACAATCATTAAAGCAAATCGAACTAAACTTCATACTCACTCTGGTAATTTTTTTGAATGATTGAATAATTATAGTTAATCAATGTCTTGAAAAATATTCATTAAAGCAAATTAAATTAAACTTATACTCACCCTAGTAATTTATTTGAACGATTAAATAATTATGATTAATTACACATTCTATTAAAGCACAATTGTTAAAGTGAATTGAATTAAACTTTTGTAATTTATTGAATGATTGAATGATTACGGTTAATCAATGTCTTGAAACACAATCATTAAAGTGAATCGAATTAAACTTCGTACTCACTCTGGTAATTTATTTGAATGATTAAATGATTTTAGTTAATTGTACATTCTCTCGCTAAAATAAAAGAATTAAAAATTATTTATTGAATAATTATGATAATTTACAGGTTGATTATTAAAATTCAAATGCACAATGTCACAATCGTTCGTCACTATTAGCATGTCATTATGATAAATGTATATAAAAATTGCGAAAATAAAATCTGTGCTCGGTTTATGATCACATGATGAAGATCATACGAACTTATACACGTATATGCATATCAGTAAATCAGGATCCCTTTTTAAGATTGTCGATTATTATATTCTTTTCGAAATAGCATATTATATTTCTTGCGCTTCTTAACGTTTTAAACCTAATATAGTGTAAGAGATATTATAGTGTACAATATATTAAATATGCGGGTGAGTTTCTATTATACACTAAATTTAACTATACTGTATTATTATTTAAATTCGTAAGTTAATAATTTAGTTAAAAAAATAGTGTGCAAATATCATTCGGGTCGCATCATTCGGTTAAATATAAATTAATTAATTGTTTCTTATATCTATAACATCTTCGCAAATTAATGAAATTTAGACTTTATATAGTTAGAACTATTTGTTAAATTTGTAATAGCTTTCACATTTCAACAAATCTATAACAGATAAGTTTAATTTTACCGATTTGCTATAATATTTTTATGTTTTTTATTTTCTTTGAAGTAAAAAACATAAAACTTATATAAGTGATTAAAAAATTAAAATTCATTACATAAGAAGCAATTAGTTAATTATTGCAAATAGATTAACTACGTTTTACTTAAGCTTTTCCAAGAGATATATTTTTTAACCAGCAATTACTTAATATCTATTCGGCTTGATTTCTTTCAAAGCTTGATTTAAATCATGTGGACGTTTTTTATTTAGCCTTTTTGATCATGCAGGCATAATGAAACGGCTTGGCTCTTCTTGCTGTTCAGTTTCATATGTATTATTTTCCTTGTTCTTTGGCCTTCCTTGTGGAATTTTCTTGAGCTCATGGGTTGATCCTTTCTTATGTCTAGAGGTTGCGGCAACTTGCACTTTAATCCTTTTTCCCCCACGTTGATACCCATTGTTATTAACTCGACTTGTATTCCAATCACATGTTTCAAAGAAAGAAGCTACTGCCGGGCGAACATGGGTATCTTGTATAGAACAATGCTTCTTGTAAATCTCAACAAATTTACATACACTTTTTTCTAATGCAGGGTCATCTTCCTTGAGAAGATTTTCCAAATCATTACTAAACCAGTGTAATTTATTTATAGCCGACTGATGATCAGTATTACAATTTTTTTCACTTATATCATAATTACTGATATCATCTTCACTATCACTTAAGAGCACAGAAATGGATTCGGGAAGTTTACTTTCATTATTCATATAATCGCAACCATTTTCATAACTAATATTAACCAAATTATTGTTAATTTTCATTATAGGTTCTGCTGTTGTGTGTATACAATCTTGTTTATATTGTGCTTGATGAAGGTTTGTATAAAAGTTGAGCTCTTTGCATTTCTCACCCAATGCCAGATAAGCATAATAATGTCGACTACTTACTGACATCGTGGGTATCTGGTTCAGACCACAAATGTTATAATGGATTGCAATTGAAGACTGATGCTTACATGGAGCCCCTGTCGGGCTACATTCACAAATCCCAAGTCGCATATCAACCAGGTACCATATATCTCTATTTTTGCTGCTTCTATGTTTAAAAATCATTGAATCGGAATTTACCACTTCAATATCTTCCCTTAATCCAATTTTCCAGCCTGAGAGTCGAAAACGGAGTAAAATAAATTCATCCAGTTTGTTGTGTGCTACGGAAAGTAATTTACGAGTATAGTAAAGATTCATTGTGCTAATAATGAAATGAAAAATTTGTACTATATTAAACACCTGTATTTGCCCAAAAACAATATCCTTAATTATTCGAATCTCTGCTTCTGCAAAATTATTCGTGTTATTGTTTCAAATTGGTAAGTTTTGACGAAATACAATAGCCCACTCTTTGCGTCTATTCCATGCAACTTCAAAATACTTTTGAAATTGTGAATATTTAAGGTATGCCTTATTTGTTACAAGTGCCATATATTTTTTCTCTAATATGATTCTAGTCTTCGCAAAAACAATCCTTTTTAAACATTCAATAAGGGTAACACGATCAGCCATATAGATGCCATGTTTTGCGTCCCATAACCACCTCCATGCAGCCTGCAGAAAATGAAAAACACATAACAACAAAGTTGTCTTTTCTCAAGTATGGCTTAATGCCTTTCTTTCTGCAGCACAATCATCAGTCATAATAATTTGCGGCCCAATTGTAGATCCACGTCCACCAAATGCTTCTGATAGCATTATATTCTTCAATGCGTTCAAAGCTCTTGTAAATGTTTGTGCTATTTTGTCTGATGTGAGTATTATAGCAAGGGGTAAGCCACCAACTGGTGTGCTTGTTGAGATAATAGTTAATGGTGTGTTAAGGGCGTCAAGACCGGCAGTTGTATCTATATACACCAGTTCACTGGCTTGTTGTAAAGTATGGCAACGTTTCATTAAATCTGTTAAAATAATTAAAATAAACGGTTGTCCAGAATCAGACTCTGTTAGAGCAACATAAGGTTGCATCCAGGCACTTCCTTTTTTGCTATCATTAAACTTTGTAACCTCTTCAGCCAGACAATTAAACATCTCTTTTCCATTTTTCGCACCAACAGACTTATCAAGAAATATTTGATGAAAGTAGTAAATAGCTTGTTTGTTTGGACAAATCGCCCTATCTGCTAAAACCTCCTCATCATTTTCATACTTTAACTGCATCTCCTTTAGGTAAGTATGATATGCTGTTGCAGGACTATGTCCGACATGGAAAAGCTCAAAGAATGCTTCTTTTGTTTTACTAGATATAGAACAAAAGCTCAAAACATGGCTTGATACGAGAGGGTGATTATGGTGAAATAACAAAATCACTATACATGGATGAGTATCAAATTTGTTTTGTAATTGTATATTGAGTATCGCTGGACAATTTGTATCTCGCTTACACATACCAATTGCTTTTTTTCATATTCAGTTTCAATA